ATTGTTGTTAATGAACATAGTAGCTCAGTGGTAGGGCCTTATTCTCAATAAACAGACATTACTGGATCAAGCTAGATGATTCTTATTGGTAGTTAATACCACTGGTTTGGGGAGCGAGCTGGTCTAGTGGTAGACTTCAGTCCCGGGCTCAAAACTCACCAAATCACCAATGGATTTTATCTAAGTGATAATGCCGCAACCCCTAGGTCTAGCCTGAAGTTATGTGCAAAACATTCCCGGGCTCGTGTCAAGCAGTCATAGGAGAAAAAAACAAAAACAAAAAACAACTGGTTTGTCTATGTGACTTACCTTTGCCGTCTTTACAACACAGCACATAAAATGACGGGCAGTTGTAGTTGAAAAATAAATAGATTATATTTTTGATTCAATATAAAATTAATCATTCGCTTTAATAAAGATTGCGTTACGAATTTTATATATAATTGTTATAGTGAATAACTACTACGGATGGTTCATTGAATGATCACTGAATGGAACTAAGTATATTCAAGTGAATATTTAATGCCATATATAAAACATAATGTTATGTACGTCAAACACACCCTATAAGTTTTATCTAGTAAAACATTATTAATTCTCGGCCATCTAAAATTATGTCCAGTTAAAAGAGTGAATACAAAGTTTTGAAATTTCTTAGTGTAGTTTGTTTAACACTTTTTTGGTATCTTGATAAGAGAGCGGACCCGTTTGTGTGACCCTGCCATAGTTAAAAAATATAATACTTTATTGAGGTGATATAATTTCACATTTTCATAGACCCTTTAAAATAAATTTAACAGGACAAAATAGTCTCTTTGTTTTAAATCAACACAATTATAGCCATTTTAAATTGTTATTAATTTATGTAAACGGATAGTTATTCCGAATTTAGAGTTTTAGAGAGAGTTGCATTATTTCAAATGGATGCCAAGCAAGACATTCAATGAAGACGATTTTAATAATAACGCCAAAACAGTGTAGTTGATTTTAGGCCTAATCATCTTAGGGGTTAGGGATATTTATACAGGGTGTTTCCAAATTGTCTGGACATATTTTGTGGACTTGTTCCCTGGGCTCAGAGAGACATAAAATGACATACAAGTATGGGTCTAAAATGCCTAGATTTCTGTCTCTTGGTCTGTTTGTGATTTAAAAAAATATTTTATATCTTGGGAATTTTTCAAGCTAGAGATTTCAAAATTGGTATTAAATGTTTAATTTAGAATTTAAAGAGCTTACAAAATGTCGTTCCGATATATCAAGCAGTTTCAATATGGTGGCCATGTAAAGTCTTTAATGCCAAATTTCATGAAAACCGTAAATATTAAGATCATCGTTTTACGATCAAAAAGATGGAGAATTTAAATCCAAATCAAATGAGATTTTGTTTAGTAAAATCGGCCCACAAACAACTGAGTTGTCAGTTTTAACTACATTCGGTTACGCAATTTAATAGGACTATCATACTGCTCTTAAGTTAGGTTTATTATTTGGAATGTAGAAAAAAACTGATAACTCGGTTGTTTGTAATTCGTTTTAACAAACAATCCTTTGATTTGGATTTTAATTTTCCACCTTTTTGACCCTGAAAACAATTTCCTCAATATTTACGGTTTTAATGAAATTTGGCTTTACAGATTTGAAATAACCGCAAAAATTAAAACGGCTCGAGATATTGGAACACAATTTTGTAAGCTCTTTTTACCTTTTAAACTACACATATACACTATTTTTGAAATTTCTAGAAAATTGCTCACAAACAGACCGACACACAGAAATATAGGCATTTTAGACCCATACTTATATGGAATTTTATGTTTGTCTAATCCCAAGGAATAAGTCCACAAAATATGTCCAGACAATTTGGAAACACCCTGTATACTATTAACGTTGTACAAATTTCCTCTCACCTTTCTCCATACAGTTTCAACGCTCTCAACTTTACTCAAAACACTAATTGGCCAACATTTCCATGGGATTGGGCAATCTAGTAGAATCATAAATATGTTTGCAAAAATGATAGATGACGTACGCGAATCCACTCTCAGAAAACAAACAAACGATATGTCTTGACGTCAATTTGTATAACCAGTTTCGCGTGTCCCCGAAGAACCATTACCACATGGACGGTGGAAGGAATTCCCAGTTGTCCTGCGAATGACCCCTTGTCTGCTGACCCCAAGCCCTCAGTCGTGAACCTAGTGGTTCAATCGCGTTTATAATTCGATCGTGAACGATTACAGCGACAAACAGAGCGAAGATCTCCAGCGTCGTCGTGGTCTTCCTGGATCGTTATCTTGGAATCCTTTCCCATAGGAATAAAATTGACGTTCTTTGTCATCAGTGTGTAATTTGAATCCTTGGAACTATCGCATATTATTTGTTTAGGAATTAATATTTAAATAGTAATACTGTACATTGTAAAATATAATAAGAATACTACATTAACACTTTGGGACAAAGCATATTATTGTTTAATGGCTAGAGAATCATGTAAATTTCATCTAAATAATTGTGCAGAGAAATGTTCAACGGAATTGTTTTCACGATTATGCATATACAGGTGTTTTTTTTTAAGTAACCTTAAATTACTGCGAGCAAGCTTTTATGTTGGTATCACCGTTTACTTTACTTAATTGCTGTTTAGCTGAAAATAATTATTGTATAGTTATCTATAAGTTTTAGTGTTATTGGGAATTTAATGTGAACAAGACTCAACATTTAACAAGTGTTTTCACAAGTTCATAGTTCAATAGCGTATGCATTGTAGGTGTATGTTTTTTCTAAAGATCCCCTTTCCTCAAATTCTTGAGTGAGTACTGTTGTTGATTTTTTAGGTACTGGAAAAACACCTGGAAACTTAATTTGGAACTTATCTTGCCATAACATCAATGATTTACTTTTAACGTATTCTTTTACAATAGCTTGCAAAACACCATGTTGAATCTTATTTATAATGGATTCCCAATAATTAACTATAAACCTCATAGATAACCATGCAATAATGCATATCAGCTGGACGGCAATGAAACAAAGTAAACAGGGATACCAACATATGAGTTTTGTCGTTAAAAAGTGTCTCAGATACTTGTAATTTGGGCTGCGTTGAAAAGAAACACTCTGTAGATTGGTTAATACGGCCTAAACCTCCAAAATTGAATGTTTGTGTATGATCATAGCGGCAAAACGATTAACTGTAGATACTTCAACTGATTAAGCATTGTTGTATTATCATGTACAATAAATCATCCAGTAACATTTGCCAACTCGTTTACGCTAAGAGAAATTTCTTTGGTACGTTTATATTTTGTATAAGTCGATACATTTCCAGTTACAAAAATGTCTAGTAAATGCACAGAAAAATTACACAATAAGATTTATGTCATACATTTAAAATCTATTATTCCTAATTATGTATATGATATTCGTAAGCTCAATTTGAGATTTTAAACCATCATTTTAATATATTACAATCAATTTAATAACGTGAAAATTATTTTATCTAAGCTAGACCAGTGTTAATTTAATGATACAATGTTATTAAATGCATATTTTCGTTTGCTTAAATGGACGTAGTTATGCAAAAGGGAACCATCCCACAGGGGGTTAAAACTGAGATTTATGGACCCAAAGTTAACGCTTATTTCTAATTCTATTATTTATAATATCAGTTATACTTTATATTTAGGTAAAAGTACAATGCTGTCAAATTAATTTGGCATAGTTTTTTTGTTTAAGTAACCGTCCGTTTTAAATTTTCAACGCAAAATGTGGGATGGTTCCTTTTTGTTTTAAAGTAAATTTGGGTAAAAAAATTATCAAGTAGCTTGGTTCCTTTTTGTTTTAATAATAAATTGGGGTAAAAAGGTGATCAAGTAGCTTGGTTCTTTTTTGTAATAAATTTATTACGTATTTAAAACAGACACTTCAACACTTTCTATAGCTTCTACGGCTTTTGAATGCTAAAAAAGTCTTTACTTAATACTATAATAGTTTTAAAAGTGTGTGTGTTTGAAATATTCATATGTGTTTGAAAACATATGGTGTTAGAATATTATTTGTTTTAGTTTTTGTTGGTAAACATGCTGGATCTTGATTTATTGTAAAAGCTACCTAATAAAGTATTTGTCTTATTAAAACTATATTTTAATTTATTTTTAATTGACGATGACACTACATGGTGGCAGCGGGTTTTTTTATTGTTTTAGCTATACAGTACATAAAGATGAAAGGTTTTAGTGTTCCTTCCCCAGAACATTTTGATTTTAAGGGAGAAAACTGGTCTAAATGGAAAACCCGTTTCTTGCGCTTTCAAGCGGTATCTGGGCTCACCAAATGAAGACGAACCGTATCAGGTAAACACCTTACTATATATTATGGGCGAAAAGGCCGAAAGCATATTTGAATAATTTAATTTGACAGCTGAGGAAAGAAAAAGTATCAAAACAGTTTAAAAAAAATGTGATACATATTTCGCTTCTTCTAAAAATGTAATCTATGAAAGATGAAACTCTAAAACATGTGTCACAGTATTGTGTGAAAGGTTGGCCAGAAAAATCTAAGATTCCAGAGGATGTATTGCCCTACTTGTATCATAGAGAAGATATAAGTGAGCAAAATGGTATACTTCTCTTTGGAAGTCGTATTATAATACCAAATTCTCTAAGAGCTAATGTACTAAGCTAATGTACTATGTCATGATGGACATCAAGGCATAAAAAAATGTAGATCTTTTGCAAAATTGACTGCGTGGTGGCCTCGTCTTTCTAACTTCTTTATACTTTCATTCTTTATACTACTTCAAAGAACTAGTATAAAATTTCAAGATATGTGCAGAAAATCGCGCTACAAGAGCAGAGCCGCTGATATTAACCCCATATCCGGACAGACCTTGGCAAATAGTGGGTGCCGATTTGCTAAAGTGCAAAGGTCACTGGTATCTCTTAATGTCAGACTATTATTCCAGGTTTATGGAGATTGCTAGACTAAATGACTTAAAAATGGGCACTATTGTGACATATACAAAGTCCATCTTCGCACGTCATGGTGTACCTGAGACAGTGAGAGCAGACTGTGGTTCTCAATTTGACTGCTGTCAATTCAAACAACTTGGTCATGATTATGGATTTAAATTGATTACATCAAGCCCAAAATTTCCAAAAAGCAACGGCTTCATCGAAGCGCAAGTAAAAAACTTAAAGTACCACTTAGACAAACGTGATGATCCCCACAAAATGCTACTTATGTTAAGAGCAACCCCTCCAGAAAATGGGAAAAGTCCAGCGGAATTACTTTTCGGGAGAAGGATCCGTACTTATGTTCCAATAATGTCTGATCAACTAAGACCCTATCTGGTAGATCCTGAAAAGTTGAGGGAAAAGGAAGAAGCAAGAATTGATCGTCAAAAGATTTATTTTGACAAAAGACATAGAGCCACAGAATTGCCTACTCTACCTGATGGAGCTCAAGTCCACATAAAGGACAGGAATCAAGAAGCAACTATATTAAACAAACACCATGCACCTCGATCCTATATAATTCAAACGCAAGATGGTTGTTTGCGGAGGAACAGAAGATCACTGCAAAGATTTAGCATTACTATGCCTTCTGAGCACTCTCAACCAGCACTGCAGACCAGTCCGTCAGAACACCTGAGAAGATCAGAACCTTTCGATCATCCTGCAATGGCATCGCAGGCAAATCCTTTAGCGAATCTAAGAAGATCAACGAGACAATTCAAACCTACCCGGAGGTTAGATCTTTAAAGGGGAGATGTGTTGTTATTCATATGTGTTTGGAAACATATGGTGTTAGAATATTATTTGTTTTAGTTTTTGTTGGTAAACATGCTGGATCTTGATTTATTGTAAAAGCTACTTAATAAAGTATTTGTCTTATTAAAACTATATTTTAATTTAATTTACGATAACACTACAGTATAAAATTACTGTAGTATATTAATATTACAGGTACAATTGTTACTATAATCAATAGTTCATCATCTCTCATCTTCTGCAAATTCAAAATCTAGTTCACCGCCAAAACCATCGATGTCATCCTCAATATTGGGATCGTAAAACAACTTTTTATAAAATTCATGGTGCATTTATGGTAGCCTATAAGATGATTTCAAATCTTTTAATTTTAGAAAAAAAATGACAAAAGGAACCAAGCACTTTTGGTTGTCATGAAGCTGATAATTCCTTATTTTTGCAAAAGGGAACCAAAAGCCTTTGGTTGCCATATAGCTAATAATTCCTTTAATTGCAAAAGAGAATCATGCTACATGATACCATCACTTTTGCTCCTATTTTAACTGTAATAGGAACCAAAAGGCTTGATTCTTTTTTGTAGAAAGCAAAAACCTATAAAGCTAAACAGCTGTAATTTTAAATAATTATAAAAAAAAGTTGTATCTATCTGTGGGTTGGTTCTTTTTTGTAGAAAATAAAGCCTGTTGAGCTCTACAACCTGGTTGTCATATCAACAGATCCGAAAAATTGTGGGTTGGTTCCTTTTTGCATAACTACGTCCAAATATGTTTTTACATTCAGCAATCTTCTAACCTAGAGGACCTTTCACGTAAACGATATAATTATGACAGTGTCCTCCTTTGATTTGCCTTTTTAATTGAGGTAGGGAATCATCTGCGACTGCAATGTATACCTAAAATGTACGAGAATGTAAGGCATATTCGTATTCGTTAAGTCTCTTAAAAGACGAAGACTATTATTGAGATCAGTAATATTTTATAACTTAAAATAAATAAAAAAAAAATGAACAATGAAAAACACATGGGTTGCTTCTATTAAGAACGGGACTAATGTACAACTATTTTTCACGAGCACTCTAATAAAGTTGATACAATCAATTATTTCTATGATTACAAGCAACATTTTACCACACCAGTACTTGATAAAACTTAAGTAAGCAAAAAATTAGTAATGCAATATAAGAAACATATTATTTTTTGTTAACATAAAACACAATTGATCACTTTAGCTCGTAAATTTTCATAACAAGGTACAAATTTTAGCTATCAGATCGATTGTCTAATGTTTTATATTACACTGCTTGTTATTCCCCATGAACTACGTGAAAATTAAAGTACTTCCATACGATTTTAGTAGAGAAGTAAAATCTATAAATAATTGCTTGACAATTAATTGTTTTACTGATTTGAAATGTCAATTTAGAGCCTATTTAATATGTTACTTAGTATTTTATATCGTTATAATTTTGTTTATTTGTAGGCATTATAAGAGGTGACGGAGTTTAAACGATTTCTATTACATTTAAGTACAATTTCTTCCGTAGGTAGTCAAAATTAATGTCTAAATAAAAATGCATAATAATTGCAGCTATACTGTGAGTACATATATGGTTTGTATTCATACAGGGTGATTTGTACTCAGTGTGACAAAGATTTTTTGGTGTAAGTACAAAGTAAATGAAGTGTGATGATGCATATCAAATGTTCCAAGTCAAAAAATTAGCTTCCCAAAAAATTATTTTATGTTTTTTTAAAATAACCATGTTTTTAAACTTAATACAGCGATTTCTCAATTACCTGTATATGGATTTGAGTAGATAATGTAATTTTCGTGTTCTACATTAAATTTTGAACAAGAATAATAGAAAATGACGGAGGATCAGTTGTAAAAACTCCATTTTAAATAGATTCAAAGATAAAAATTAAGATGTTTGATAAAAATTGTAAAAACAATGGTCTATTGCATTTTTCACCCTGTATACAAGAAAGTGTCGGAATATGTTAAAAACTGTGCCATTTTATAAGCTTTCCAACGATATGCTACACTATTAAGGTTTATGTCTGCTTATGTACGCTTTAATGGTTTGAAGACTACAAAGCATGGTGTCTTTAACATTTAAAACATAGAAAGTCGGCATGTATAAGCAAAAGTTGTATTTTTGATTCAGCTTGAACAGTAAAAACAGTAAAAAGTTCCCTGTTTTCTGGTATTCAAACCACTAAAACAAACAAAAAGATATCTAAACCTCAATAGTGTAGCATATGGTTGGAAAGCTTATAAAATGGCGCAGTTTTTAACATATTCCGACACTTTCTTGTATACAGGGTGTGAAAAATACAATGGACCATTGTTTTAAAAATGTTTATCAAATATCAAAACTTTTATCTTTAAATCTATTTACATTGGAGTTTTTACAACTGATCCTCCGTCATTTTCCATTATTCTTGTTCAAAATGTAATGTAGAACACGAAAATGGCATTATCTACTCAAATCCATATACAGGTAATTGAGAAATCGCTGTATTAGGTATAAAAGCATAGTTATTTTTGAAAAACATAAAATAATTTTTTGGGACGCTAATTTTGAGACTTGGAACATTTGATATGCATCATCACACTTCATTTACTTTGTACTTACATCAAAAAAATTTTGTCACACTGAGTACAAATCACCCTATTATTTATCATGTAGATACAACGTTCCATGCAATATAAAGTAAATTCGTGAACAGAAAGTTACTAATACATTTTTTTGCCAATTTTTGCTACCAGCCTTTTTTAAGGTTTTCTGCTTTTATAAAAAAATCGTCGTATTTACAATCTTACTCGACTAGTTGGGTTTTTTAAATATTTTAAACTCCCAAAACGTTGGTTAGGCCTACTACATGGTTTTGTGATGGCTTAGTAAGTTAAATCTACGAATTTTCAATAATAAACAGAGCTATACGTGAAAGAATAAAATGCCTTCACTCCAGTACCTACAGGGCCCGATAGCTTTGGAGTGTAAGCCAAATTTTCCTAAAAGCTTCAGACTCGTATTGAAATAGTATATTACGTTACTAGTCCTGAAAATATGTGTTTACCCGACGAGTGTGGTTGTTTCCGTGCGAGACGACACATTTTGGACGAGTGAAGTACGATATTTTACGCCATACTACTAAACTCGAGAGATATAATAAGAGAGGTTATGTTTTTGTTAGTAAACTAACCACTTTCCCTCATTGCCAAATACAGTATATCAGCTCGTTGGTATCCGGTAAAACTCATTGCAGTACAGACATAATGAAACCCCATTTGATTAAGCTGACGGCAAACAGCTGTTTTCTAGACTAAATCCTTGCGTGGGAAGTTTGTCAAAACAGTGTAGTGTGACGAAAAATAGTTTTAAACGACTTTACCTTATTCTAACAAAATGAAATAAAATCGCAGTTTCCGCCCCGAATTTCATTGTATTAATTAGAATCCAACACTTTTGTTATTTTAATCTGCCTTGGTATACTAATTATGCAAATGCTATATATTTGAGCGAACTCACCTGTTTTTCATTTTTGTATTTGACATAAAATAAATCCATTTAACTTTTTATAAACAAGAGGCACTTTTGTACTTGATGTAAAAGTCATGTTTGATCATACAAGTTTAACAAGACAATTAACAGTTTTTGTCCTCAAATATCTTGGAGAATAATTTCATTCCCTATCAAATAATGTTAATAAAGGGGTTTAAACTAAACTGCATCCCTGGTTGCCAAATAGGTGGAAATTATTTTGTTACATAACTACTTAAAATGGATGTCATTCACCTATTTCAATGTAGCAACTAAAAAATGTTATTCGAGATAAAAAAAAAATAGTTTAATCCCTTGAAGGGGGTTTGATCCAAAAAAATTCAAAATAGAATATAGAATATATACTACACGAGCATTAATACGTTATGCTATATTTCTAATTGTATCTGATAAAACTCCATTGATTAAAAAGAAAAAACGCCATTTTGTTAGCGATTTTCCCTATAGGGAAGTAGCTATTACCGTAGGTCTCATGGTAAGACTTAGGCCCGGGACCGATTTACTTTTTCATTTTGATGTCCCCAGAGGCCAAAAACACCATTCGTTCAAATTTTTATATATGTATATATATATATATATAGATTTATATATATATATATATAGATTTATATATATATATAGATTTATATATATATGTGTCCGTGAACACGATAACTTGAGTAATTTTTATCCGATTTTGATGAAATTTGGTTTGAAGGTGTAAGGCGGGATAAACTTGAATGAGTTCGCGATCGGGGATGCGGAATACTATCCCCCGGAAAACTACCCCCCCAGGTGAAACGTGACGTCACAAAATCTGCTAACTAACCAATATGGAAGCCGTGTCCGCGACTGGAATACTACCCCCCCTAGACAAATCATGCTATGTAATTTTAATTTTAATTCGAGTAATTCCGTTGGATAATAGAAAATGCGTATGGTGAATATAAAACAGATTGTTGAAATGTTACAGCAAGTTTGGTTGGTTAGGTTAGGTTAGATTAGAACTGTTTGACAACTAAATTTGAGTGTCCGTGACTGGAAAACTACCCCCCCGGTCTCTGACGTCAATATGACGTAGGAACCTGCTTGGGGGGTAGTTTTCCGGGGGGCAGTCTTCCTGCGACCCGCTGCGCGATCCAGCATGATCGGACCATGGGAACAGGATTTTATGGGGGGTTTTATGGGGTAAAAATTGGTTTTTCTCACTTTTGACCCTCAAAACACAAAATTTTCCAATTTTTCTCTAAACCTTCTTAAAGAGCTTAAAAAAAAAACAATTCAGTATATCAAAGTGTTTTTGTACGGTTATTGGTTACGGAGAAATCTAAAAAAAAATTAAATTTAAAATTCCCATGTTATTCTTATGGAGAATATTGTAAAATGTTGTAGTTTGCTTGTTTATGGATATCTTTTGATCAAACTTGGCAAATATATTCATTTTATACTAAGCAATAATTATTTTACTTAAAACACACACTTTATTAGTTTCCTTGTAGCAGCAAACCTAGGTACTCGTTAAACCTAATGTTATTTAAATAGATCAATTGAAAATCAATTCAGCCAAATGGAAATTCGCTTAGACGGCAGGTTTGCTGCGGCGGGGGTATTGTATTTTGCAATTGCATTCTGTTTAGTACACGGACTTTAAAAGTACATACTATCTAGCTGGAACTGTCATTATAAACTACATCATTATATTTATGCAATCGTATGCTTAAAAATCTGCGCACTTGTGTTAAAAATATAAGGTTAGTACACATTTACCTATTAAAAAACAACATAGCGTTGATAAATTGCATAACAATAAGTGAATATGTTGTTTCCCTAAGATATTTTCAATGGCTGGTTGATCCCACAATCCTTACACACCACATGTAACTAACAATAACCACTATTCTGTACTTACAGAAGTTGGCTAGATACAATCGCCGGAAAAATGCTTTTTCTTTATTGAACTTGCACGTGGTTAGAAATTCAATCGGGTTTTGATCATTTAGTTTTCCAAACTTTGCTTATTTTGATTCATCATAATACGGAATAGTTTTGGTTGGTTACTATTATATAACTAAACGTTAAAAATGATTATTTACACAAAATGTTATATCGTAAAAAAAGTTTTATAATTAGTGTGTTATTTGTTTGTATAATATATTCACAATTTCTCACCACTGTTATTCAACGCAATTCAGAGGTTAACAATACTCAAATTATTTGGAAACACTTTAAGATGTCCCAATAATTTGAGTTTGTTACTTATTAAGTTGAACAATTTGATCACAACGAAAATACAATGAGAAAGAGGAAAATTGGGATGTACATAAATTGTATTGTTTAGTTGCTTAACAGTTTAATTTTGTTCTCACATTTTTTGTGTGTTCGTCAATCAAGGTAAAACAGTTTTAATCAAACTTTGAATACTCAATTCATTAGTTAATAATTGTAACATTATAAAAACGGTATGAAACAATCACGTGTACTATTCCAGTGTTTACACGTGAACTTAAGTTTGAATAAAGCTGAAATTATCAAGTCACAGTTGTATACCGGTGAATGAAAGCAACTATATATACTAGGTTGATTGATTTGCATAATTAAAAAGTTGTTTTGGTTGGTGTAATTTTTGGCTATTTTGAAAACTGTGTATTTTAGTACTTGGTATTAATCCACTTTTTAAGATAGGAATTGTTTTTTTTTTTATTATAATTCCTTAGAGTATTAAGTTTAGTTCGACACACTTACGAGAAAATCAATAGCATGTAAATATATTAAAATAGTGGTAATAATAGTGTAAAATAATTATTTTAACACAGTGACCAACATAAATATGTAAAAAAGTTGAAAATTATCTAAAATACAAAAATAGTTATTTAAAAACATGCATCACCTTATTAAAAACATATTTAATTTTACTTACCTCAAAAATGGGATATACCAAAACAAACACTAATAACACAATAAACAACTGGCACAAAAAACAGCAGCGTTGCACGGCGGAGCGTGAGCTTTATAGGAGTTCTCCTTCCCCCCAACAACTTTCAAAGATGGCACTACGCATTGTGCAATACCAACGCCCCCGCCGCGCCCTGGCAATACTGCCCGGCAAATCACCAACTAGTGGATTTCAGCTGGCAATTTGATATCCCTCTTGTGATTAATGTGTTAAAAAGATTCTCGTGTATTTCTTCAGTAAGGGAAATCGATCGATAGTAAAAATTAGGTTCGTTCCCATATTTTGTCAGAGACCTAAAGTCCTACTTATCTCAATTAATAAGCTAAAAAAAAAAAAAATAACGAAAATCCTAGCTTTACTGTGCACGCATCTACTATTGGGTGTTTAAATTAATTGGTTAAGCATTATTCATGGGATGGTAAAGCAATGTTTACTTCAGTATGTATTCATAAAATGCCCTCACTGCAGTGAACCTGCAGACTAAGCAAATTTCAATTTACCTGGTTGTATTTTCACTAAAATATGTATTTTATAATTCCATACAATTAATTTTAATGTATAATTAGGTTCACTGCTACAGGGAATGTATTTAAGTGTTTTATTATTTAATTTTTAATAACTTAGTATAAAATAAACAAGTTTGCCAAACAAAAAGCATTCCCAAGCAAACAAACTACACCATTTGATTTATCCATAAGAATAACGGGAGAATTTTAAATTTAAACTTTTTTAATTATCCCCGTAACCATTAGGTTTTACTTATTTAATTTGTTTTTGAGCACTACAAAATTATTTATAATGAAATCGTAAAAATTATGTTTTGGAATAAAAAAATACAAAACACAATATTTACCCCATAACGTATTACCATTGACTATACACCTCTGTTCCCATAGTCAGATACAATGCTGGTTCGTGAACTCGTTCGAATACACGTAAGTGCATTCGTTTTTACCGAATGTCATTTAAATCGGGATGATTTTTACTCGGAAAGTAAATCCGTCCCGGGTCTAGGTCTTACCATGAGACCTGCCGTAGTATATTATTCCTTATATGGGAAAATTCGCTAAAACCATTTTATCTAGCCCATAAACTTTCGGGAATTTGAGGCATATGGACACATTGTTACATGGCTCTCATGTATGTAATATGAGTTATAGTATCTTAAAGTCGATGAAAATGGTAATACATTAAAGTGAGGTTAGACCGGCTATAGCCGTGTAACACAACCAGTTTTTCACGGCCAACTAAAAAATCATTACGATTGCCAGGCCAATTTGTAGTAATGCTTTAAAATTTATAGCCTATAGCCACACACTTCATTAACATATCGGCTTCAAATAAAAATACCTCTATCGCAGCAAACCTGTGTACAGGATGAATCACCAGCAACTTTAACCAGTTTTGTTTGACAATTTTCTTCGTAAATTGAAGTCTACACGACACTCAGATCCACTCCTAGTAGAAAAAATAGGTATTAACTCAATGAATATTTTGCTTCTAGGAGGAACATGACGAATTGTTATTTTGATAACATTTTTAAAGCTCTTCCAATGCATGATCTGCATATTTGTATAGTTTAGAAGATTGGTCTATCAATGAACAAACAATCAATTTACTCTTCATGAGGATAAAATGGTATCTTAATGATTATAAAATTGTAGACAAAGTACAGAGAGTAGAATTTTTATATATCGGTGATCGTTAGGCGTAGAGTAGTAGTGTTGCGTCATAAATGTATTGTTAGTCTTGTTAAACTAATTAAGATTTTTAGGTGTTCGCAGTTGCATTGATGGAATCATATCTATGTGGTAGAGGTCAGGCAGTGTTCTTTGACGGTGTTCTGTCGGATTTGGTGGAGACTCAACATGGCGTTCCGCAAGGTTCGATCTTAGGACCTTTGTTGTTTATAATTTATGTTAATGATCTGCCTTATAATATACAGAATGAATGTGTTTCTTGTTATATGTATGGACTAGCAGAATGTAATCACTGTTGGATTTGTTAATACAATGGTAGATTAGAGTAATGTTAATAAATTATCTTTAAATTTAAATAAAACGCAAGATCTAAAAATGTCTTATGCCAACACAGAATCTCATCATCAACCTGTTAAATTTTTAGGTATCTTAACTCAGAGCAATTTGAAATGGGAATCACATATCGTATTTGTAGCTGTTAAATATCGAAAGGTATATTAAGAAAACTAAAAAAATGTTGCAATAGAAGTTCTGCTTACTGTTTACTATAGCTACATACACTGTCATCTTACTTATGGTACCATTCTTTGGGCTAGTTGTGGATATGTAAAATTTTTTATTTGTGTTGCAGAAAAGAGCGCTTATAGATTAATTGCTGGTGTTCCACCAAAAACTCATTGTAAGCCAATTTTTAGTTTTTTATCTGTCATACCTCTTATTTGTATATATATATTTCACTGCCTTATGTATTGTAAAAAGAACGTAAACACTTTGTCTTCCCACTGTGATACGTATAGTTATAAGACCAGAAACTATGCTAAACTTCGAAATTATTACTGTACTTATAGTATTACTCAAAACAGCTTTAAATATTCCTCGTTTAAGTTATTCAATCATCTACCAAATTATATTCAAGAGTAACCATTAGATAAATTTAAAATATCTGTTAAGAATCTGTTAGTAAAATGCTGTCTTTATGACTTGGAAGATTATTTTGACAATTGTTTTGACCTTGAAGATGTTTTATTAATTTAGTGTTTAATATATTAACGCAAACTATACAGCATTGTATGATCTTTTTACATTGTTGTCTTGGAAAGATTGATTGATTGATTTATTGACCAACGAGTGATACTTTCTAAACTTTAGGGTGGAAATGCAAGAATCATTGATTTGTATGTATATTTTGGCAAAATTATGCTACCCTAAATTGTTTCATCAAACGATGTATTAGGTATTAACAAAATACGTTTATGTTTATGCAAAATTAAAAAGAAATCAACCGCAAATCTCATATTAGGGATAATTTTTTATTTTAAAAATCAATCACAAATCGCTGAGACACGTGTTTGGATTGAAACCTCTATTTCTATGCAGAAAGGAATGGCTATCGTAACGAAGTATGTTTTTAAAAGAGAGATTGTACTTTTAAGACAAATACTAAGAAATTGTTTATATTTCATTCCTTTTGTAAACATATCTCAAAAATAAAAATATTTTTCCTTCGGTCGCCCGACAAAGTAGGCTTCTTTGCACTGATTATAGTACAGAAAGCTGCTAATTGCTGCATTTACTTACTTTGTCGCACCGTTTATACTTTGTCGCACGGTTTATACTTTGGCGCACACCAGTATTCCAACCAAACAACACAAAACAGCGTGGTTTTATTTTGCCCGTAATCTGAGTACACTTTGAAATAGGTTGGAAACACTTAACGATTAATATGATCAGCTGATTGACTATTGAAACTACGATTTAACCTGTAATTTCGTGTTTATATTCTATTTTCGTTCAACACTTGGTTTGAACATAACCTAAGTATTTGAAAGAATAATTATAAGTGGGCCTAACATTTTTGAGAATAATGAACTCAGTGATTGTGAGTACATGTGTACACCAGAAGAAATATCTAGCAGAAACTACAAAGCATGTTTCATTAAACCTGTTTCCTGAAAAATCAAGAAAGAAGTATGAACGAGCATACGAACTGTTGTCTTCTTGGTGCGTAAGTAAGAAAGTTACAAAATTACTTGTTTATTCTGTTCACACTGATTATTACTGTTTATAAGTGTACTCTTAAAAATAAGCAACACTTAAAGATACTACGACTACGATCAGCTGGTGTAGTGTTTCCCATTCCATTCAACGCTTGGGTTTAACTTAGCCTAAAAACGTGCTAAACACCTCTAAACGTGCGGTTGGGTCTTTTTCTAACCTAAAAACGTGCTGTATAGTGTTTGAAAGACTTATTATTTATATGTTTTATAGTGACTGTAGGACAAATATAATGGCTCACTAGTTACACAAATAATTATTGACACACTGTACTCCTGTACTAATGTAGGCTACACATTTCCATCGGTAGATACTCTATTTGGAAACGTTTACTTTGGCAACCGTTGTAGTACTCTAGTTGTAGTTGATTTTCGGCATATTGACAATTAAAAATTATAATATGCTACATTAATAAGCTACCGAATCACTGGTATGTACTGTAACTAACAAAAATGTATTCGTAATCCAAACATCGATGGATAAAATATAAATATTCATTGTCAAACGTAAGTATATTTGTAAAAATGTGTCACAAAATCTTAAACGCTTAGTTTATTTTGTTAACTTTCTGACACTGAAATGAAGAACTATAACATTTACATTAAGACAGATCACATGGTAGTATTTGATCCATCCACTTCCCCCCTTGTATGTCCACGCAACTGGTGTTTCGTGTCTTTATAATAGAAAATAAAAATAAATCTATCAACTATAAAAAGCCCACTGAAAAGTCTGGAGTTAAAGTAAGACATTAAAACGATTTACAAGCAACTATACGTGAAGTACCTCTCATAAACCATAACTCTGAATTCATCTAATTCCTCTTTACGACGGTGTAAATGAAATGCTCGAATGATCTGTGATTGCCGTTTACGACTTTCAAACGACAATTGCGTGGTGGGGAGTTCCGAGGAAGATTGCGCCGATCATAAAGGTCTATTAGAGGATGGATCGGTGCCAATGACAGTAGTTAAGTAAAGAATATTGCTGTAAGAAAAACACAGAGGATTGGGACAGTGAGGTGAAGGCCGTATAGAGGGTGAGGATGAGGTTAGGTAAGATGTGGAGGAGTGTAGGGTACGACATCGGGAGAGGAGACACATGCTAATGTACGGAAACTTGAGCCTCTCGACCGACATTCCACCATTTGTTGATATAAAACCATACAACCACACAGCCACGTAAACCGGTTGAGTAGTCGTTGGTTTTGTATGTAACCACATTTTAAATGTTGATGATGGTTGTAGACAAATGAATAGGATACATCACATACTTGTAATTTACTTGGAGTGTGTGATCAAATATTCTTCTTGTGGGCCATTACATGCGACT